CCCATCCATAGCTTCCGGAACTCCTTCCGGTAAAGAGATATCAGTATCGGCGGGATTGTGGTGAAGGGCACCAGATATAGCAGCGCCGGCTGTGCGCTACCACTCATTAAATACAGTCCTATAAAAACGATAATGAAAACAAAAATGAAAATACAGATAAAAACATTGAACACAAACACTAAAATAGTAAACATTGTATAAAAGTGAACAAAAAATAGCTACAAAATGAAACACAAAATCATAAAATACCGGCAAAAGTGGCGATGAGTCCCAACCCATAGCCAATACAAGTGGACGTATAGTATATCCTATACTTAATGTCGAATATAAGGTCGAAAGCGTAGCAATAGGACACGAGTAGTCCGGGCACCAGTATGTCGCCGAAGCCCAACAGGGAGTCCACACTTGCGAAGCACACGTCCAACGGATTGGTACTGTTTTGCGACTTAAATATCTTATGCGGTATACGCATAACCATTGGTATCTGTTCGCCGGGTGTTCCGCACCGGGACTTACCCGACGAGCCGCCAGTGGCCACGTCTACCATCACTGAATTGCCTATACGTTCAATACAAACACAAAACATTTTATTAATAAATGCATAAAAATTAATCAATAGATGAGATCAACGCCTAAGAACTAAATCTGAAGTCATAATCACCTCTGGATGTAATCAATGGTGTGATAAACACGAAGAATATATCGTAGAAAAAGAGCGCCGACAGCAGTATAACACATATCTTATAAGAGGGCAGTCGTATAGTCCTCAACATATTGAGTGAGAAGCACACGCCTAACAGGTCCTGAAGAATCCAGGCGTACGGCTCCTTCCGGAGCACAAACCACGTGACGGACACGGCTATAGACAGCACCAGTAGCACCGACTGGTAGTAATACATTTTGCCGCACCGGACGCTGAACAGTATGAACGCCGGACGGGTGAGCCACTGGGGGCACAGGTAGAGCACCACCGGCTCCAGGCATGCGAACAGTGAGGCCATCGACGCCAACGTGAATAAGAAGATAATCACATAAACCAAGTACTGGAAGAAGTAGTAGAGAAGTAATAGCATTAACGCCATCAGCAGTACAAAGCCTAACACCAGGAATGGCGACAAATTGATAAACGCTTCCTCTTCGGCGCCCGATTTAGGCGACGCTTCCTTTGGTTCAGTTTCAGCTGTAAATGGCATTCAGTTCTCATTAATTCATTCATTTATAAACTATTCACTAATTGTTATGAACTCGAGGTTCACACAAGTAATGATAAATACTTGTTATACACTATTCAGAGTGGGAGTGAGTGAGTGAGAGAGAGAGAGAGAGAGAGAGAGAGAGAGAGAGAGAGTGAGAGAGAGCTCTGAAAGTGTCAGCAAGAGATCCATAGCTAATGACTTACATCTGGTTTTAGTCTTTTGTGTATTCATATGGAAAATGTTGAGCCGAACGGTTCCGGACCAGAAGGCGCCCAAACAGACCGTAAAAGTGGCCAAAAGCCAGATACAGATAATAGAGTAGTCGAAGCCATACCGGCCCTCATCGACAGGCTGTACGTCAAACAGCTTCACACGACTGAAGTGATGGTCTTGTATTGAGTGGACACTCGTGTCGGATATCAACGAAACGCTGAACTTATTGTCAAACAGCGTGTCATTCGTTATGTTAATACTGGTGCCGATGTCCACCGAACAGCCGATGGATACAAACAGACCACTGATGGCCCACTTCTGGAAGTAATCTATTTGTTCATTGATATCACAATCAGTGGAGTATTTAATGACAACATATTTGCCATCCGTGTAGTGATTGACATCCGGAGGCTGTCCTCCGGGTTGTGGACAGACATTGCTGTCGTAGTGCCCGAAGTCTAAGTCCAAGAATTGGTTCCGTTTCTGGTGTTGAGTGACGTTCTTGTCGTCGGTGTAGTCGAGTATACAGTACTTCTTGGATGCCTTTCCACTGGTGTCTTGAGCTTCGATCACATTATATTCCGATGGTATGACTCGCGAGGCAGCGGTGGTCACCATCACTGACACGACGAGCATTGAGATCACAGTCGCCACCATCGATGGCCACATTGTGGTCGTTGTCTTCGCACACATATCGTGTGGTGATGTCTTCGAGTGGTGTCGCTCTCGATCTCTGGACAACTGATCCGCGCGAGTGATGAGTGGCAAAGAGTGGCGCAACAGTTGTCGCTCAAGACTATCACCAAAACTAATGACACAAACAATCAAAGACTAAACAATTGATTGAGTGTTCACTTCATTGACAATAATAGCAGTGATAATAGTGTTGTAAATACAGCACTCATTCCCATCCCATATGTCATTGAGTTGTATGTGTTGTTGAGTGCAAAACGGGATCATGTTTTCAACACTACTCATGACGTCATATGTGTTGCCAATAGAGACACACAAACTATAAGCTGTTATAAAAGTTGTCAAAAACCAGAAGTTTGTGTCAATTGTGAAGTGAATGAGTGTTTGATTGCATTGTATTTGTATTTAGTGTTCAAATGAATGGCAATTAAGTGATAAACAAAGACAAGCAATGGTTGCACACGATTGCGATCGCATTGTTAATCTCAATCAGTTTCAAGAGAAAGGTCTGGCCTGAGATAAACTCAAGTGTGGTATTTGTCTGCAGATACTGGACAGGGCTGTCACCACTCCACGCGATCATACCTATTGTCACAGTTGTCTCACTCAATGGCTAACAAGAGGTCGCAATACTTGTCCTCAATGTCAGCACAAGTTGTCCAGAAAGAGGGACAGACAGGATGTCAGCAATAATGTGGTGATCATTGGTGGCTATATTTGCCACAAGAATCTCATTGCAAACAATATTATCTCTAAATTGATGATAAAATGCAAGTTTGTGGGCAATGGGTGTCCGCAAGTGATACCATTGGAACAGTTGGAGACACACCTGAAGACATGTGACCATAAGTTATGTCATACTTGTGGCCATCCGGATGTGAATGAAAACCACAATTGTGTGGATGTATTGAAAGCAGAAAACAATAATTTTAAGAAACAATTGGATGAATACCGGCGACGGAAGTGTTCGTTTGAAATACAGTCCAAAACACTTACGAATGAATTGAAAGAATCGGACGATAAGTGCAAAGAATTGGATGAACAGAACAAACGGAATGAAATGATTGTCACGACTTGTCAGAGAAATTGCCGATTGGTTTGATTCTCAAACAGTGAATCCATTGGTTTTGCGATCCAATTGCCTAGTAATTGATAAAACACGGCTCAACCACTCATATAACATAATGTTGTGTCGCATTGGCATCCGATTGGCAAACGTTACCATAAAAAGGAGAAGTATATCATTCAGTCTGTTATTCAGTAACATAACAGAGCTGTTGTACTGCACCGACCCATCACTACTGGTGTTGTTTATCAAAATCAAACCTCATATGTCGTGGAATTTGTAAGGCCTTAAAAAAGGAGTTCCCAAATATGTCTGATATTTGTTTCAATGGTTTGTATAAATTGTCATATGATTATTGGGAACTCATTTATTTAGTTTTGTTTCATATCCTTTGTCTGGTTCATCGAAATGGTTATTATTATGAACGCAAATCATTATCGACGCGAGTCTTTGGATGACATCATTTTCATAAGACTTATCCATTATTTGATTGGAGATCGCTGTCAACGTATCCCTATTGAGAGGGCCCGACAAATGCAAACCATTGCATAGATTGACATTATGTTGATATACTGTCAAGTATTTCAATACGTTTTTCTGGTTGTAGTAACGTTTTGAGTGTTGGCAAATCCTTGATAGTTATCTATTAAATTGATATAACACATGCCGAATAATATGATATAAAAATACATATGACTAAATGAACGAAGAAATGGTGGCGCGGCAGTTGATCCCAGAGCTCGCCGCCACGTTTGGACAGGAGGCGGCGCGCTCTGCCTCCAGTTCATATGTGGTGGCGATCTATGCCTCCCACTATGTCCCGCGAAAGGATCAACTGCCGCGGGATGTAATACTTGGTTTCAATTAGTATTCAATCAAATGTCAATCAATGGATAAGTTATGAACAATTTTGGTGAATATTGTAAAATAAAGTCTTTTTGATTCACTACTTATAAAATATATTTTATTTAAACATATCAGGAGATGTCGGTTACATAAGTGACTCTCAGTTATGAGAGACAGAGTTATATAAAATGAATATTCAAAGAGTAAGGGATTGAAGGAATGCATAACAATCCTTGAATTTAGATATCATTTACATTCATAAACATTATTTAACTTATTGTGCATAACATAGGATTCTATGAACATGTTCTTTAAACTTATAAACATTGTTTTGAAAGATAATGCAATAAAACAGATACTACTATATTGAAATGAATGGTAATTCAGTTATAATCAAAGACAAGCTATGGTTGGTTACGATTGCAATAGTTTTGTTAATCTGCAAGTCCTTCAAGAGAATGGTCTGGCCATCGATCAACTCAAATGCGGTATTTGTCTGTATATACTGGACAGGGCTGTCACCACTCCATGCGGTCATACCTATTGTCACAGTTGTCTCACAGAATTGCTAACAAGTGGTCGCAATACTTGTCCTCAATGTCAGTATCGGTTGTCCCGAAAGAATGGTAAACAAAGGGCTAATAATGTGGTCATCATTGGTGACTATCTTTGTTACAAGAATCTCATTGTAAACAATATTATCTCCAAATTGCGGGTCAAATGCAAGTTTGTGGACAATGGGTGTCCGGAAGTGATGCCTTTGAAACAGTTGGCCACACATATCAACACATGTGACCATAAGATAAGCAAAACCTGTGGCTATTTAGATGCCTCTGAATACCACAATTGTATGGATTTCTTGAAGACAGAGAATAATAAATTGAATGAAAAGTTGCAGAATTGCGAAGAAGTAAGGCGTCATTCACAAAGTACGTACGCACACCTAGGGGGGAGGGGGGGTCATGCCAAAAACGTATGAAAGCGTATGTTATATTGGGGAGGGGGTAATGGGATAGTGTATGTACGCTTAAAGGTCCCATCCATAGCTTCCGGAACTCCTTCCGGTAAAGAGATATCAGTATCGGCGGGATTGTGGTGAAGGGCACCAGATATAGCAGCGCCGGCTGTGCGCTACCACTCATTAAATACAGTCCTATAAAAAGGATAATGAAAACAAAAATGAAAATACAGATAAAAACATTGAACACAAACACTAAAATAGTAAACATTATATAAAAGTGAACAATAGCTACAAAATTAAACACAAAATCATAAAATACCGGCAAAAGTGGCGATGAGTCCCAACCCATAGCCAATACAAGTGGACGTATAGTATATCCTATACTTAATGTCGAATATAAGGTCGAAAGCATAGCAATAGGACACGAGTAGTCCGGGCACCAGTATGTCGCCGAAGCCCAACAGGGAGTCCACACTCGCGAAGCACACGTCCAACGGATTGGTACTGTTTTGCGACTTAAATATCTTATGCGGTATACGCATAACCATTGGTATCTGTTCGCCGGGTGTTCCACACCGGGACTTACCCGACGAGCCGCCAGTGGCCACGTCTACCATCACTGAATTGCCTATACGTTCAATACAAACACAAAACATTTTATTAATAAATGCAAAGTCATTATACCGTAAAAATGCATAAAAATTAATCAATAGATGAGACCAATGCTTAAGAACTAAATCTCAAGTTATAATCACCTCTGGATGTAATCAATGGTGTGATAAACACGAAGAATATATCGTAGAAAAAGAGCGCCGACAGCAGTATAACACATATCTTATAAGAGGGCAGTCGTATAGTCCTCAACATATTGAGT